TTATCGTCTGCTCCACCATAATTAACTTACGTTCAGTGATCAATAAATCGTTTAACTGGTCATAAAAACAAAACCCGTGTTTGAGAAATGCTTGTATACAACATTTTATGCTATAATTAATATTTGTTTCAAAATCAGATTAATCTAACTTTAAATTTGCTAATTTTCCTCAAATAACGTTTCAGAAATATATATTTTATTTTTGCAATATTTTTAAAGCTGAGAATTAACTTTTGTTTACAGATGTGTCAAAATGGCCGGTTTTATTGATTTTACTGAAAAAATCGATTCCGATCAATATAATTTTTGTTTGAAACACACACACACACACACATGCACACGCGTTTCCCTTTTAGAGTGGGATCGCAATTGACATTTGGCATTTTTGGAACATTTCCCAAGTGTTGTGTGCTGAATCTAGTCTGAAAGTAGACCTGGTCTAATTTATCTAGCTATATATAAAATTATGTGACTTCCGTTAGTCCGCCCGTCACACCTTCTAAAATAGCCATACACTGACTGATCGAAACCAAATTTTGAGAAGTGCAAACAGGTAAAGGGGTACAAAGTACAGTTGGTTTTACTAGGGTAAAAACCGCGAAGTAGGTTGTTTTGTTAAAATATTTTCCCAAACAAATTAGCTTATTCAAATTTCATCGATTGGTTTGTGAAATTGAACGAAACGTAGAGTTTGTAAATCTCGACAAAAATATTAGCGATAACTTCAAAAATAATAAATAGTGTGAGGATTTCAATACGCGTCAGAGTGTTGCAAAAAAAAAAAAAAAGAAAAAGTAAATTCTAGTATTATTATTATAACGCCAAGATTTTGTCAAGTTATGATCGTTTGAAGTTAATTAAAACTCATACGTTTAATCAGTTATTTTTATAAGATCAGTTCTGGATAGTTTCTTCATCTGACTATTTTTTACTGGAAAACTATTGGGATTTTGCTGAAATGAACGTCATAAGTGACAGACAGATTTAACTTTTCACTTTTTAAAAAAAAAATGACCTTATCAAGCTGATTTTGGATCCCTACAACACAATATTCAAATTAGCACATTTGCCATATTTCGCTTACGTTTTGTCTTTAATCCTATAAATTCGAATAAATGTAAAAAAAAAAAAAAAAAATGTCTGGGACAAAATGTTCTACTTTCCAAATATCAAAACAGTTTAAATCTGCAAAATGTAAGAAAATTGTTCCCGAGAAGATATTTAAAAAGTTCCCTACATACGTTAAATTGATCACTAACCGCTTTTGGCACCCTATGCCGGGAGCCAAATACCAGTTTTTGACATGACTTACCTTGTATTTATCAGAAAATCATGATCTAGACATATATTTTTATGATTTTAGGGGTGTTGAATCCATTTTTGGCACTGAAAATTCTCTAAAAAGAATTGATTGATTCACTTTCTACGATTTATCAACTTTTTGCAGGTTATTTAAAGCCAAAAAATATTTTAGGTAGTGAGATATTTTTCGAGATAAGAATGATTTAGTGATACAAGTCTGGAATTGGAACTTTGCTCACCGATTAACAATTCCAAGCAGCGTTGAACCTGGTCATTACCTAGATGGGTGACCGCTTTGGAATACCAAGTGCTACAAGCTTAGATGTCCGGTGGCGTAATGGAATAGTTAATTAGAGAGCCGTGTCCCAATTCCAGTTGGGTTCGTTATATTCACTTACACGCAAACACCCTTGGGAAATGTATGAATCCACCTCAACTTCCAGTTATGAACTAATTAGTGGGGCTTATAGATAATGCAATATTATCTGCAATAAATTCTTTCAATCTAAAAATAACTTCTGGCTTTAAATAACCTGCATAAGGCATAAAACAAATGGATCAATCAATCCTTTTAAGGACAAATGACATGAATATACAGGGGCCCCAAAAAGAACCAGGAATGTTGGTATAGTTTATTTAATTGTTGGAATTTTTGTTACAGTTATTTGAAACAAAAGCAAAGGATGGAAATTTAGTAGCTTTAAACATAACAAAATCACAAATGTTAGATGGTGTGATCAAACTAAAGAACTCTGGCAAAATCTCTTGACATTTTTTCAGTCTCCAAGTTGGATGTTCTTTCTTAGAAAACAATCACCTTACATTAAAAATTTGATAACTGCAGCATCCTGGAACAACAAATGGTTATATATATATATATATATATATATATATATATATATATATAAATAAATAAATAATTAATATATATATGTATATATATAAATAATTAATATATATATATATATATATATATAAAATAATTAATATATATATATATATGTATATATATATATATATATATATATTAATATATATATACATATGTATATATATATATAAATAATTAATATATATATACATATGTATATATAAATAATTAATATATATATATATATATGTATATATATAAATAATTAATATATATATATATAAATAATTAATATATATATATATATATATATATATATATGTTAGTTATTTCTTTCCTTCATTCATATAGTAAAATATATAGTTAACTCTTTTATATGTTAGTTAATTTTTTTCATCATATAGTAAATCTAAGATTTCCTGTTTTTTTTTCTTTTTTGTGAAGCACCCATAATTGAGCTGAAAATTCCTTCGTCGAAAAAATCACAAATATCCGCTTGACTGTCTCGTGCGAGGCTACTGTGCATTCCAAACACTCGAAATCCAATTAAGCTAAATACGCGATATTCTTTTGTTCGTGGGAAAATTCTGACTTTGATTTCCTATATCGGATTTGATTGCACGGGACCCAATACTTAATATTTATGTGGAGACCCGTTTAGATTAGCCGTGTTTCCCCCCAAGAGAATTCGATAGAAACTTGCAATATATCATAATCTCAAGAAGAAATTACTTCAACACAAATAAACTAACAGTAAATAAAAACAATAATTTTATAAATGGTTTAAAGAAACAAATGCAATACAAAAAGCAGCTTAAGTTGGCTTAATTTGAAGTCTGTTAAAACAGGAACGGTTTTAAATGATATTTTTAAAAATCATTTCACCTCAAGCAATGCAGTAAAGCCACTGAGACACAAGGGGTTACTGAGTAAGAAAGAATAAAAAAGAAAAAGAGAAACACTATTAAGGAGAGAGAACAATAAAAGAAGAGGAACCAAGAAGATAGTAGATAACGATTAACATTGCATTTAAGTTTTTGAAGGTCAAAGTTGGCTGGAAAGCATGGAGCCAGATAAGAGACTAGAGCATAGGGCACAAAACTTACGGTTGCATCTTGTCAATTGAACTGTAAATTGATGGGACCTTGTTGTAAATATAGTACTGCACTTAAATTCATAAAGTCTAGATACCATAGCGGAAAATTCATCAGGACAATTACCATGAAAGTATGTATAGAAAAGTCACAGCAAAGCTACATTACGGCGGCGGGAAAGTGACTGAAGCCGAGATGCCAAGTCAGGCTATTGCAGATTCTTCTTTGGATTTTATCAAGAATCTCTAAATATATAGCAAGATCACCGGGCCAAATGTAGCAGCAATATTCAAAGCATGGACGAATAGTAGACTTATAAATATATATTCTGGAGATAAACGTTTTTTCGCGGCATGATTAACCAACATTCTTAGCTTCAGATCTAGCAATTGATTCAATCAAAACTGATTGATATAAAAGGGTTGCAGTTTAAGTTAACGGGCTGTATTTGTATGTGTAGATAAGAGAAAGAAGTCGGTGAAACCTTCAGTTGATCTCTTTGGGCGCAAGCGTGTCAGCAAAAGTGAGTAGGCGATTGGCGGTGGTTTCTTTCCAAGTCGCCGGTAGCTGGTGGATCCTTCTGAAGAGAGTACCTCTACTGATTTTCTGGATTTTTCTTTGCTTTTATCTGCTTTCAGAAGCTTGAAGCTTAGGACTCTTGAAATACTAAAATAGATCGGTCTGATCGGTTTATTATTCCTCCTATTTGTTATGTGATATTGTTTTCTACTACGTCCGTGAGGAAAGGATTCAGTTAAACCGATTTTTAAATTTAGAACAATGAGAGCACTAGCGTTATTTCTTGCGTGGAAATATATGTGTAGCTCACAAGTAACTGATATAAAAGGAAAATGATAGTTCATGTTTATGGTGTAAGGTTTCATTACGAATAACATTAATTTCTTTTAGACATCGCTGAAAACTTAATTAATTTTTTGATTTATTTTTCAGAAGACACCCAACCAATGGCTGACAACAACTGCAATTGTGTCGTTTGTACGACGAATTCTGATGAGGAGTTTTCCATCTCTCACTCATATTCTTCTTCGTGTACGTCTTGTTCCTCCTCGTCGCCCTCTTCGTCTTCGTCCTTTTCTTTCTCTGAAGGAGAAGAAGAGGAAGAAGAAGAAGAGGAAGAAGAAGAGGAGGAGGGAGAAAAAGAAGAAATGGAGAAGAAAGAATATACAATAGAAAATTGTAAAGAAGAGAATATAATTGAGAAAGCAAAAATCGGAAATAAAATAGAAAATAAGGAAGAAGTAAAAGAAATTTCAAAAAACATAGCAGACGTAATAACAACAGCAGCAACCATAAAGAGAGAAGCAGAAAAAATGGAAGTCAGAACAGACGTTAAAGAGGAAATTGAAACGATCAGACACACAGTAAAATTAAAGGAGGTAAGAGAACGAGTAGAGGAGGCGAAAGATATCAAAATAACTAGAAAGAAAGATAGAGAAGTTGTGAGAGAGGAAGTCAAAATGGAAGATGAAGAAAAATACGGATATGAAGAAGGGGAGGAAAACGAGAAGGGAAGTATAATTCCAAATGGAAAAGAAGAAGAAGAAGAAGAAGAAGAAGAAGAAGAAGAAGAAGAAGAAGAAGAAGAAGAAACACTGCAAAAAGTGAGACAGACGGTAAAAATAGATATAAAGGAAGAAGAATCAAGGAAAGCGAGAGAAAAAGCGGGAGTAAAAAACGACGAAGGAAAGGACGGGATTGAAAACGAAGAAACAATGAAAGAAGAAAAAGAAGAAATGAAAAAGCAGAAAGTGATAAAAGATGAAAGCAAGAAAGAAGACGAAGTTTTGTTTCTTCAATTGGCGCCAAAAGTCCAGAGGCTATCGGCATATTCGCAATTCACAAAGATCCCACCAGCACCTCCCAATTCACCACTGGTAAGGCAATGTTATTTCTTTTCACAAAATTAAATTGAATAAATGAAGAAATAAATAAACAAAATTGAAGAAGCATTGATTCACATGTATTAATATTAATTTTAAAATATATTTTCTTTCTAATGAAAACAGTAGATTTCATAGATGAATAACTGAAAAATTTCTTGTGACGGGTTTCATCCGTTAGGATTTCATTGGACTGGATGAAATGTGTCACAGGAAATTTTCTAGTTTGTTATATTTTTCTAAATACTGTTGATATAAAAAATTATAAAAAATTATATATAATTATATCATAGATGAATAAATACATTCAGGTTCGCAATATGAGAACTTCTAACATATGTGCTTTCTCTTAGCATGAAAATATATTCTGAATTTTGAGTTGGACTTCAAATTTTAACTTGTACTGGAGACAATATACAATAAGTCATTACAGTCCTTCCTCAACAAACAGGGGTGGCTTTATGTCTGTATATGATTTGTCTTTCATATGTTTATATTGATATATTATTAATACGCGTGTATATCTTCATTCATTTTTTCTTATTTTAAATCGAGCTCTAAAGAGTGAAAGCCGGTCAGCTATTGTGCCGATTAGGAATTTTATAAATTCCTATTTCAGATTTAATAGTATTATTATTTTTTTTTTGCGTGGATTAAGTTTCTTATTGTTTCTGAAGTAGTTGTGATATATTTTATTTTAAATTTAGGCACATTCTTTTCAATTGTAGTCGTTAGTGAGTTGGTCGGCAGTATGATGTGCCTAGTTTTATGATAACTATCATAATTTATCATAATTACATATATGATATTTTGTATCATAATTATAATAATTATAAAGATTATTTGTGTTATTTTCTTTATTGTCCTTGTAGATTTTGTAAGCTTTCCTCTTGGGATGAAACGTGTTACTTAGGAATATTGTTTTCCATTTCATCATTCGATTACCTACAATTAGTCTGCTATATAGATTTGCATACAATAGCTTCTAAAAGCAATATAACAAATAATTACTATAAGCAATGATTGGAAAATTCCAACATTAATAATTTGAATATTGACGGTTACAAATTCTAAGTGCCCTTAAAGAAAGACCGAGTTATTCCAGATTTTACTTTGTTGTTGTGGTGTGAATAGAAGTTTATGAGATCATTTTTTGCTGGTGGATTTTCGATAGACGTTTAGTTTTAGATCATTGTCACTACAGTTTAACACCATATTGAGGAAAGATAGTGTATTATTTGTTTCTGTACATTATTAGGTCATGAGACAAATTAAAAGCATGACAAGAAAAATGTCAGGAATCGAAATTGTCGGACGCGCTTGTCTCTTTTCTCAAGCAAAAATAAAATGATCATTTTATTTTCATGCTTGTGAGAGGAGGCAGGCGTGTCCGAAAATTCCGCTACCTGACATTTTTCTCTTCGTGCTTCTATTTTTATTATAGTCTAATGATATAAAATAATAATTATTATTGTTGTTGTTTTTGTTGTAGTTTTGAGTTTGCTTGTTTGTTTTACGAATTGCCTCCAAGTCTCAACCTGAAGCCTCTAGAGATTGCATGATTGTTGGTTCAAGTAGTTGAATATGTAGTTGACATTCTCAGCATCATTTTTTCTGAATTGTATGTGTCGGATAATTGTGAATATTAGTTTAAACTTCCATTAAAACGTCTATGTGTATGCACAGATAAAATTTATGTACAGATTAAATGGGGAATCTGATAAACTAGAATTATGTCACGGGTATAAAATTCAGTAAACTCACAAATGAATTTTCAAAATATGAAGAAATCGTTGTAAAATGTTATTTTGGGTTTTGTGAATATATTGGAATGTGCATGAAAAATCCAGTAGTATAGGCCCATAACCTGTGACATTGATAAACATTTCCTGAGGGTGTAGGAAGTATCCATCAGTGCAATCGTTTGCATTTCAGCCAAACTAGGTTCAATAGTTAGTCGAGAAACATAATCTTTCATATGTTCTGGTATAATTCCTAATGCACCAATAACAATTGGTATTAGATTTGAGATATAGCATCTTCAGAATTTCAATTTCTAGATCTATTTACTTAGTCTGGTGAATAATTTGACTGAAATATTTACATCAACAGTGATTGTTACCGCGTTGAGTAAACACTTTATTCCGGCAAATTTTTTACAATGATATCCAGGTTATTAGGTTATTAATTTTATTTTATCTTTTTTTAATTTCTTTTATCAACCTACTACAACTACTACTATTATTACACGCACACACACACACACACACTCATACGTACATTATATATATATATATATATATATATATATATATATATATAGAGAGAGAGAGAGAGAGAGAGAGAGAGAGAAAGCAAATCTCACTAAGGCTTTGATTCATAAAGGCTTAAAAAATAAGTCTTTCAAAGGTGACTATTTCTGAAGAGAAGAGAGAGAAATCTGAGAGAGAAAACAAGAGTGACTGAAACTGAGTAAGAGAGAAATAAATTGGAGAGAAGGAAAGGAGTAAAGAGAGAGTGGGAAAGAGAATTGAATGCCTGAGAGAGAGAGAGAGAGAGAGAGAGAGAGAGAGAGAGAGAGAGAGAGAGCAATCTTCTCACCTTGGCCAATTTTATTTTAGTGATAATCTTTGCCGAGCCGTTTCAAAATATGACATTCTACCGATTAGATCGATCAATTAATAGCCCGGGGAAAAATATAATAGATCACTGGTCGGATGACCTTGGGGATAACTGGAGGTTTATGAAATAGATTAAAATATCCCAAGAGGATGGCTTGGCAGTTAGGCTTAGCCTTTAGAAGAGAGATTCGCGAGATTTAGCGTTCAAATACGGATGCCAAGAAGCGGATATTCGTTTGCAAATAGTATATCCGGTAGTATATAAAACCAATTAATTAATTAAAAAGCAACATTTAAAACCAGGTTCTAAAACACTTTTCCACATAGTTGTAAAACTCACAACCGTTATATCAATAAAATAAATCGTTGTGTATTTGAACAGTAATCCCTTTTTAATACTTGCTTCGTTGAACAAGACTGACAAGCTATTGTAGTTTTTTTTTTAGTATTTTTTTCTTTTATACGTACAAGTGTCTCCTTTTCTGGACTTAATGAATGTAAAAAATGTACAACAGTTTCTTGGTGCCGAGCGCCTTCGGTTAATCTGTTGGCTATTTCCAAGTACTCTTTTTTCTTATACTACTATAGTATTGACAAAGTGTTTTTTTTTTAATATTTCGTTGCATTTTCGATTTCACTGTTTAAATGATATATATCATATTTAGCAGCTGCTATTTGTCTTAAAACTATTTTTCCTGAATATTGTGATGTTGGTTTCCATGTAGGTTGCTGGGCGAAGTAATCTAATTTTGAGCAATAAACAGACTGGCAAGGTATTTTAGTTTAGTTTCTATATGTTGTTTTTCTTGTATATGTAGAAGTCTCTTGTTTTCTGACTTAAATGAATGTAAAAATTGTCCAAAAGTTTGTTGGTGACGAGCGCTTTCGCCTAAACTGTTAGCCATTTTCAATGATTATTTTTTGTTATACTACTACTATAATAAATGATGTGTACGTGCTATTGTAGATGGTATAAGAATGGTAAACTTCTATGTACTTCTGGAAGGATTCTTCTTGGATAACTTCAGCTTCGTCGTTACAGCCCTCTTGATGGCCTCCACGCCTTCAAAAGGGGTGCACTTGAGCTTGGGGAAAAGACAAAAGTCACACGGAGCAAAATCAGGTGAATAGGTAGGTTATTTCAGTACGGTGATGTTATTCTCGGCCAGAAACTGACGGATGCTCAGGGCGTTATGAGTAACTGCATTGTTGTGGTGAAGCAGCCATGATTTGTCCTGTATATGAAAAAAAAAAAAATACAATGATTGCAGAAAACTAAGATTACAATACTATAGTCCCAAGATCATGTTTGATGACAACACAATTCGCTTATTTCTCTTTCGTCCATAGCTCACATAACACACCCAGTCCTGTTACTTTTCAGACATACCTCGTATTAATAGTCTCTATGACTTTTAAATAATTTTACAGTGGGAGTTATGTGTTCTCGATTAATATATAAATACAAGTTATAAATAATTGGAAGCTTATTTTACTAAATTAACTATTCACTTGGTTAGTTACTTATGAATTTTTGCGCAATATGGCCTTTTAACTCACTTTAATCCCCGATATCCAAATTCCACATCCAGTTCATTAAAAAATAACGTTTTTAAATATTATATATATATATATATATATATATATATATATATATATATGAGTTGATTCCATTTCCTAAAATGTAGTCAGTCTGATGAAAATTTATTACTATGGATTTTTAAGGTTTTTTCCTAATTATTCTTATAATTTGCTCTGTATCACGCATTGAGCCCTCATATGGAGTGAAAATAATCCCCATCAATTTCCTTTTGGTATATAAGAATAATTAGGAAATAACCTTAAAAATTCATAGTCAGTAATAAATTTATTTCGATGAGTATCTCATCAGACCGACTACATTTTATGAAATGGAATCAAGATATCCTATTTCCCAGACAGACAGATATACAAAAATAAAAAATACAAGATAAAACAAAACAAGCAAAAACAAATTAGCCTAGAATTTTTTTTACATTATGAAGGGAGAGAACAGAAAAAAAGATCTAATATAAAGGGAAAGGTATATATATATATATATATATATATATATATATATATATATATATATGTATTCACACACTCAAGATGTAGTTCAGAGATCCTTATTATTTTGTCACTAACCTAACTTATCTAAATACTGTCGTGGAGTTCCATATTTCAACCAAAATTTTTATTTTAGTCAAAATTAAAATAAATATAAGTTGTTATAAAAGAAAAAACTGAACGGTAATTTACATTTTCTTTAAATTCTGTCTCGTCCAAAAAGGTTAATTGAATCTGAAATCCGTTATATTGTGGTCTGTTATATCGTGTGACACGTATGTGTGTGTGGCCCAGATTAATAATGGATATCTCACAATAAAAAATGTTACATTCACAATAGCTTTGAAGCAAGCAGCCGAATTCGACTTAATGCAATCTGTTACCGTGACATATTGAACAAAAAATAAAATCTCGATTGCAGATTGTCCTAAAAATACTGTATCGGATTGATATGAGCAGTCTGACACTGCAATTAAGAAAAATGAATAAAAACGTATTGATAGCAGCTATAAACATATTTACTAATTTACAATACATTTTAGAGCAAGATCGACCATTAATTAAGCGAGATGACTAAAAAACGGCACCAATCAATCAGCTACTTTTAGCCAAAAAAAAAAAATAGTGAACGACTTTTTGGTTGTTGTTGTTGTTGTTGGGGGGGGGTTCTCAGCTTCTAGCAAGGGTGCAGTCGGCAGGTTCCAATGACCACCAACAAGGTATCATTATCTAAGAATCTTAGAGATATATTTGTACTAATGATTATTTTCCAAACTCATTGGTTTATTTTCTGAAGTTTTTTTTTTTTTTATTTACATATATATACTGAGAAATCATTATTATTGTCAATCTTAATATTAATTCAGTCATGTCACCAGGTAATTAAATTTTAATTTAATTTTAAAAAAAATTCCTCCTTGTACAGTTCGTTTTTCTTGTGTCTTTTCAAGACGATGCGGCGCAGATCAAGAGTGAAGGAGCTGGCCACTTGGTTTGAGGAAAAAGTCATCGTTCGTCCGGACCAGATTCCCGAGAAAAACCCGAATCTTAAACCAGAGCAACCGTTAAACTGTCCCAAAACTTACGACAGCAACAACAATAAGCGAGTCGTTGGAGAATTGATCAACTTCTTTTGCAGCCAAGACCCACCACGCCCGCGGCCACAGCCCATCAGTGAGGCCCGAATAAACGTTATGAATTTGATTGAAACTTTTGAAAGAAAGACAGAAAATAGTTCCAGGCATTATCCGTTCATTCCTTTGCATGTCGAGCGTTTCGTCTGAAATACACATTTTCACTGTATTCCAAGTTATTTTCGTCTCATATCAGACCTGTCAAACTTCCATAAATTTTAAGTCAATATTTGATTGATTGTTTTTGTTTACTAAATCTACACTAATTAATTTAAAATTTATTCAAGTTCTTCATTTAACAAAATATAACCACTTTATTTCAATGAATATGTCTGTTAAAAAAAAGAAAATTATTATAATTTAAGATGAAAACTTTCAGTCTTTCCCTCCAAAAAGTTTTCAAGCTATGTAAAGTTTAGTGAATTCTAAGACATAAAAATCTCTTAGCATAAAGTGACATAATAAAAATAAGGAATGAAATGCATTTAAAACAAATGGGAGCTTAGACCAAGTTTACACAAAATACGGCCCGCGAGTTTGTCTGGTGTCCCGCGAGGGGTTTTCAAAATAATCATTTTTTTTTGTATCTACAAAGATAAATTCGATAACTGATGATGTTTGAAAAATTCGGTTTTGTCGAAGCATGGCTTTATCGAACCATTATTTCACTTTGTCTCATTAATTCTTATTTTTAGACTCTCATTAGAAAAAAGAAAGAATTTTCTCACAATCCCTATACGTTTCTTAGTAATATAAAAATAAATTTGTGGGCCACGGCTAATTCTTTGCGATAATGTGCCCCCGTCACATTTTTTTTTCATCGTGCATCCCTGGGTTAGATGTCCTCTTCAAAATGCAGAATTAATTAATCAACATCTACGAAAAGGAAATAATGATAAACAAAAATGTTTCTTTCAGAAATAATTCAAGGTATGCAAAGTTGCATTTGGATGTTTAAAGTAAAAAAAAATTTAAAAAAAGTTCAACTGTATATGGCATAATGGTTGTATAATTTGAGCAATCAGTAAAGTTTACAAGGCCAAAAAGCACTAACCGCTGAATTACCTATAAGTGCTGCTCCAATACTTCCTGGTTTATGAAAGTCATATGCTTGTTTTTCATTTAACAACACATTCAACAAGCGGCCCTTTTGTCATGTCGAAACTTAGCTGTAGTTGTCAATGTGCTTCCGTTGATGTCTTTAAAAATTGTGATTTTACGTGATATCGCTTTTAATGAGTTATAAGTGTAAAAATAAATAAATACCATCCGAACAAGATTGCTCGTACCAAATCTGCGGTTAAAAAAAATTTTGGTTTTTTTATCACATATCAATTACAATACAAAAGTTAAAAGTTAAAACCAAATAAGATCAACACTATTTTAAGCAAAGCGCCAACTAGGGGAGGCAACTCTTCAATACAGTTTATAAAAGAAATATAGAGTAATCACGCCATGATGTTTAAAATGTCCCAAATATAATTTAATGCTTTATTATATAAATCCGATTGTAAATCGCACAGAATATAGCGCAGAAATACCCGAACAAGCCATTTGCCACAGACATAAAATATTAAATTTTGATTTCGTCTTTTTGGATTTATTCCCAAACTGTATAGTGATTTCTGCCACTGAGAAAAATTCCATATTTTAAGACTCTCTCTTTTAATTAAACATAACTCAATTTACAGTATGAAAGAATAACTAATGTAAGGTTTTATTGTATGACAAACACAGTTTATTTTCATTACTAAAAGCAATTTATGCATACTGTGTTAAAAACAAAAAAATGAAGAAAAAAAAAAAAAAAAATGAAAGCAACAAGTTGATTTAGAAAAAAAAATTTTGAATCTCATGACAAATTTGTGGAAGTTGTAAAGTCTGAAATATCCATGCTGAAGAAGTTGACACAAAGGTGACTTATACATCAAGCCTAAGACATTATCAAGAGTTAACTTTTACAATTGCATAAATGTGTTCACTGAAGTAAAGCATATAAGTTGATTTTAAACCTTGAGGAAAATTTAAAAAAAAACATCCTTCTTGAATCATGATTGACTCATATGCTGAATTAAAAAAATAAATAAAAATGAATGTTTTTTTTGTTTTAAATAAAAACATCAGTGATTGGTAGACAAGCAAATGTTAGCAACTTGCCTCACACTCGCTGGTTATCACTCATACAAGGGCTTCATTAACTGCAAATAGTTCTTGTATGGAAAGAATCATTTTTGTAGTTATATTCATTGTATGCATAATGGGAATTTTTTTTTTTTTTGAAAACACATATATCTAAATAGGAATGAATACAGTGAAATGACCTTGTGTATATTTTTCGCATTATTTGTTGAGAGACAAAGTTGAAATTATTTAAGTCTCACTTAAGGAATTTTACTTTCGATATTAAGACTTGTGATAGTTCTGCCTGTTTCTTTTTTCTAAGTTGATCATTTGCTATCTTAATCACAAGAAAAAAAAAAAAAAAAAAAAAAAAACACTTCCCTAAGAATCCCCTTCTTCAACTACAACAGATAAAACTTTGATATATTTATCTGAAAATATTCTTGTTATAAATAATTCTCCTCTTTTTGGATTTTTCAAAACTTATTTTGGTGACAAAGTTATACATTTTTCTACCGATTATAAAAAAAAAAAAAAAAAAAAATTATTTTTTTTTTGAAAATAAGAGAAAACAGTTTCATGCTTCTCTCGTCATTAAAAATTCACCTGAACCAAATTTGCAATTTGCATGAAAGTCATCTTGCAGATTTTACTTGCACATCAATGAAATAATTTGTTTCAATTTTATGCAGAGAAATATTTTCGTCCAATAAAAAAAGAAAAAAAAAAAAAAAAAAATTAAAAAGATATTTTAATGCCACCAAAAAATTTACCACTAAAAATAAAATTTTGAAAATTATTATTCATGTTCTTGAGTTATTTTTTTCTCTTAAGATTCAGTTTCTCTTAAATATGAGAAATGTAAAACATTTGCTTTCAGACTGAAATAGCCAGTTTGTTGATGACAAATGAAATTCCATTTTAGCTCAGAAAATTGATTATAATTTTTTAACTGATACAAGACCCTGGGCCAGTGTTTCTCAACCTTTTTGAGCAACGGCACACCTAATAGCAAATGAAAATATCACAGCACACTGAGCAAAATTTTTATAAGAGTATACATTTAAATGTTATCAAATAAAAACTATAGATTAAAAAAATACACACAAAAATATGAACTCTATTTCAATGTTTCTATTCAACTATTTGTGCAGCTTATTTAGTGTGAAACCTGTGCCTGGTGTTTTTTCACGATTTTTTCAACATTTGGTCAAATGTGTGGTAAGCAGAATCTAATTTCTTCAGTTGAGTGTAGTCTTTCTCACTTCTTATTTTTTTTTTCGATGTTATTTAGGATTGAGAAACCCGATTCACACAAGTTGGAAATTGCAATAAAACTGATAAAGCCTTTATAGTTAATGTGAGACAAAAAGTTTAATACTTATTCATTTATTCAAATACTAATACTATACCTTTACTACTCAACATATGCCATAACAATATTTTTGTGGCACACTAGTTTATACTTTAGGTAAACATTGGTTTGATATATAACTGGGTTTGCAATCATTTAGCTAGAATATAATCCAGCATATTGGCCTTATAAAAGGTGGGTTGGTAGATTTTTGACATGACACTATTTTCTGTAATGGGCTGGTAAATAATAAAATTAAACAACTTTGTATAATTTAGGGTTAATGAAGTTGATTTTCAGGTCTTCATTTAATACTAATTTATTATGTAGCATTTTTCGAGACAATATAATCGTTTAGAATAATACAATCTCTTATTTTCATGTAATAACAAAGATTTGGACATAGATACCAAAAACTGCTTAAAATAAAGGAAAGATGAAGTCTTGCCATGAAAAAAAGTATCCACCAACTGTATAGTAAATAACAATTCATAAAAATTATATTAATATTTCAAGTCATTTTTTTCAAGTAAAAACAGCTGTATAAACAGATTTGCCATTTATGAAAAGGAACCATTTTAGAGTGGACTACTTTACATAGTGTGATGAAGTGAGTGACAGACTCAAGCGGAGTGAGTAGATTTCCAAGGAGCCTGATTGCGCTGAATGAGCATTGGAATTAAAACATGGGAAAAGGAAATAATTAAGAAAGCTTTGAGAAATTAGATGGATTGAGAGATCTTTAAAGAATGAATTTGAAATTGAATATTAACTTGGAAATAACTTAGTATAAATGGATATGGCCCACCTGCTAGATTGCCAAGTCAGGTGGAAAATGATGACCAGTAATAAATTACTTCCTTGACAAAAAGCAAAAAGTCCTTGAGATTAAGTAGTTTTCGTAAAGACCTATCTATTGGATTGGTGTTGTTTTACACTATTTACATTGTTCAGACTATCATCCTCATCTTTGTGGCCAAATTCATCACATTTTGGCTATTGTACGCTCTGGTCTTCTTCAGGTGGTTGAGATGTCGAACTGAACCCTTTATTTCGCTTGCTGGGGTAGACTGTTTTAGTTCCATGTGCCATGTCTAATGGATGTCAGTTATCTCCTATTAATTCCCCTCTCCATTTTCTCCACTGCCTTAACCAGGTATTGAACTCACACTCTTTGGGTCCTGTCACTGGATCTAACTAACACCTTTATCCACTGTGCCATGTGTCCTCAAGGACATGCTTGAAGAAGTATGGCATCAGAAATACTGTTTCCATCTGTGATTTTTATTATTAAAACATTCAAGGTTCCAATAATGAGTAGGTGTCATAAATTTTCTGGAATTGATTAGAATCAAAGAAAGCAGAATTGGTTTCATGAAAAATGAAGCCTCTTCACAAATGGATCAATTAACCATTTCATGATGATATAAATAACAGAAGACGTGATTAGAACTTTAAAATGTTTTTTGTATTGATGAAAAAAAAAAAAAAAATCCCTTACATCAAAAAGGTGTGACAAGTATGTACAGGCCACATTGGTAAACAAAACATGTTTTTCAGTAATGTGCCCCCTACCCTCAGATCCCACCCAGGTTAAAAAAAAAAAAAAAAAAAAAAAAAATAAAAAAAAAAAAGAAGGAAAACCTAACAACAATTGAATGCCTTAGTCTTTTCTTAACCTAAATTCTTCATTGGTAATGCCATCTTTGGTGATGAGATTCACCGTAATACAATCGCCAGTGTAGATATCTCTTTCAGCAGCTGATACAAACACATCTTTCACTAGCTGAAGGGCTCTAGCTTGTGTCAATGGAGTCTTCTGCATATTTTGCTGGTTTTTGCATTCAATCTGTAAAAATAAAATAGATAAATGATTTCTTTTGGCTTCAAATTGATATGAAAATAATTGACACAATAAAACAAATTTAGGTTTAATAAATCATCCTTAAGAAAAGTAAAAGGACACAACAACCAAAAGAAAAACAGAAACTGGCCTTTAAAAGAGAATATTATAAAGAAAGTTATAATAAAAATGGATGAATTTGTTATAGAAGCTATCTAAATAAGAGGAACAAGTAACTCACTTGATTATCCAAGAGAGGTTGCAGCATAGCACTGGAAGAACCTGCAGCTCGACAGGTTTCTCGTTCATATGATCCAACAGGGTCAAAGCTGTATATACATCCTTTACCTGTAGGAAGGGACAAGAAAAAAAAAAAGGATTGAAGCTGAGGATTCTTTTCAGATTTAATTTAAATGCTATTAGTATCTGCTTTCCCAACAATTAAAAATATTTTTTTCATAGCAAGAGCCCATAACTATTGCTTGAAACATGAACAAATGAAAGAGAATACAAAGGCTTTCTATTTCTGCTCTACAGCAGTATTACTATCTTAAGTGTTATATTTAGAACTTCAAAAGAAATAATATACAAAAAGTTGCTTTCTTTTGCATCAATCTATCTTAAAATTCTATTCAGAAGTGACTAAGCTTGGCCTAAGACTACAAGGAGGAGATTATTTGGCCTATTTGCCATCCTCTGTGATTTTTCAAAATTGAAAAATGTTCCGAATTTCTGACATTCAGCAATACATGACTATGGAAATGTATTCTGGAAAATAAATTCCAAGAATATTTCCAGTAATGGCACCATCATTTCATGAAGTGCATAGCTTTACAAGGAGACTCTTTTGAAGGAAAAAGCAGCTAATGGTGACCAGGTAAGCAAACTTTGCTTTCACAGGACCATCCTGGAAATTGTCAAACCTTGTACTAGTGGGAAGCATAAGTATACACTTGCCACAAAATGTGGACCAATTTACTTTAAGATTAATTAATTTGGAATTGTTTCAATAAAATAAGATTGAATAAAAGAAAAGTGAAATAAGATTTGTAAAGATTGGATTTTCTTATTTAATGAAAAAACCTTTTTGACTTTAGGCTATTGGTGAATTGTAAATAAGGCAAAACAAAGATAGTGTACAAATTTAAATGCTGACCTTCTTCGTCAATACCAGCAATAAGATTGTATACATAGTAAGGAAAGAAACGTCTATGGTAGAGAATTGTGGACAGTAGAGCAGCTATAGCTGGAGTGGTCATCTCTTTACGATGATTATGTTCATAGACCTGAAAAAAAAAAAAAAAAAAAAAAATTCAACAGAATATTTATATATATACACAACATATCTGAAATTTACATGCAAAATGAAAATTAATAAACAAAAACCTTTGAATGAAATTCTGATTTAAAGCATCATTGCTATTCAATGAAGAATTCAAAGATGCCAAGAGAAAAATCAAGACATTTCCACTAATTCTAGGATCTATCATAATATGGTATTATAAAATATAAGTTAGTTTCAATCTGAAATTGTTTAAATTCCAAAAGACTTAAGTTCATTGATGACTTTACAAATGTAGAAGGATTTATACCTATGTTTTATAATGTATGACACAAAGAATTGTTTGAACAATTGTAAACTTGATTTATTTGGGAAGGACATTAGAATAGTCTAGAACTTGTAGTGTGGAAAACTGCCTGAAAATGAAATCAGTAAATACACAAAAATAGAAAGGGGCATAAGACGAGGATGTATCTTCTCATCAGACATATTCAATCTTTACAGTAAGGCAATCCTGAGAGAATTTGAAGTGCTAGCAGGGTTCATTATTAGTGGCAACAATCTTAACAATATAAGATATGCAGATAATATAGCAGAAAGTAAACTACAGGAATTTTTACAGAAGTTAGCCTAAGGAAAGTGAGAAGAAAAGACTAAACATCAATTGTAAGAAAACAAAATGTGTGGTTTTCAGCAAAATTAACAGCTCAACATTTAAACTATGAATTGGAGATGCCAAAATCAAGCAAGTACGAAAATTTAAATACCTAGGAAGTGTTAATACAGAGGATGAAAAATGGAACACCAAAATCTGAAAGTGCACTGGAATAGCAAAAAACGTCTTCCAGAAGGTAATCAAGTATTAGGAAACAGGAGAAATTTGTTAGAAATAAAGAAAAGCATATTGAACTGTAATATTGGTCTTTCTATATGGCAGTGAATGCTGAACAATCTCCTCACAGATAAAGAAGAGACGAGGCAATAGAAATGTGGTTCTACAGAAGGATGCTAATACTATAGATTGAATGTATCAGTAACAAAGAAGAGAAAATGGAAACAAGGACACTTATACTTAGAAAGAGAGAGTTGAAATTTCTAGGACACATAAGAAAGGGTGTTTGGAGAATTTGACACTCACAGGACATATTGGAGGTAAGAGAGAGAGAAGAAAGCAGGGGATAACCTACCTAATGTTGGCAGAACAAAGATTAAGAAAGACAGCAAAAAAGCTACAAAGACAGGAAATTTTGGAGAGCCATGGTTGCCCACACCCTGAAGGGACATGAAAAACAGAAGATGGGTTTGTGTATCTCCACATTCATTTAATTGATATTTACCTATAATTCATCCATTAAACAGAGGTTTCTTTGCTGAACAATTGTCACAGACAAGAATCAATCTATTTCTACACATATTTTGATCAAAATAAAATCAATTATAAACAATGAGAATTTATAATGAAGAGTTAAGCAAAGAGACACATCAGAATGAAGTTAAAACTCTTAAAACCCAATGCCTGCCTTTCAAGTGAATGATATCTTTTTAAAATGAAAACATTGCTTTCTTCAGCTATGCATTATTACTTGTATATTTCAGCTTTCATGAGAATTTCACTTGGAATGTTTTACTTCACCCCAGTGATGATGTATAAATCTCTTTCTTTAGAAAACTGGTAGCGTTCCTAGAGAAGTCAGAATGCAATTTTGTGTGGACTGGTGAAACTTTCAAATGATTTGCATTTCAATAGCAAAATTTTCTAGTGACTAAAGTTAACTCCAGAAATTTGCCAAAGCCAGGGAACCAGAATGTTTTTTGCTGCATTTCCATATATCAGTGAAGTATACAAAATATAAGTTACTTTTTCAAGATCAAAGATGAAGGTAACTGTATCAAACAAAAAAGACTTAAAAAATATCTGAATTCCTAATTTCAATGTTGGAAATGGATACCAAGATATTAAGAATACAAAGTTTTTTGTTTTTTTAAATGAAACTTTTATAAAATTATGGGGACAAAGGTAGGCTGAATACATAGTGGCAGAAGGGATTTAACATTTTTTATAGAATCAATTTTATATAATTTCTCACCTTCAGACGAGCTTCCAAGATTTTAGTTACAGTAAGAGCATCACCATGGAAACCTACACAACCAAGCACTGTCTTATCCGTCCTGGAAAGTCAAATAAAAATATTCATGAGACCTGATTTAAGACATGGAACACAAGCAGAGGAGCAATATTGATGACATTTTGTTTCTGAGGTGCAAAAAAAATGTACAACAAACTTTTATTTATAAATAAATCCAAAAGATATATGCCATTTGATTACAAAAAATATTCTAGATACAAGATCAACTTATTTTAAGTGTAAATATAGGCTCCATGACATTCTATAACTGCTATCAGTCTTTTATCCATTCATTTTGTTAATTTTTCTGTGGTTTCAACATTAACATTATTTGCAGCAGTTTGTACTGTTTCCTTGATATTTTCTTTGCTTGAATATTGTTTTCCATTCTCATATACATCTCTTAATGATGTACAAATTAGCCATTGAATTAATACCCGAAGAGGCTGGGAACCATTCAATTAATTCAGTGTCTTTTTTGGCAATATGAATAATAGTCAATTTTGTAAAACGTGAAAAAAGCATATTATCTTACAAGAATATACTCTTCAGCTGAAAGCTTGTTGGATGTAACTTGTGCTACACAAGAAACATGTCTAAAAATTTAAAATATTTCTCTGTATTTATTTTGAACCATCTAAACTATAATTTTATCACTAACAATACTAGCCCAAAACATTATTTCACCTCCCTTCTGTTTTCTTCAAAATTGTGTTGATTGACAATTTCCATGAAGGATGCTACTAGCTATCAGGTCCATCCATTGTAGTTCTAGAGTCATCACTAAAACAGTGAATTGAGAAATTAGTTTTTGTGCATTTTCTGGTCCAGTATACACAATTCTATTTGTAATGTTTACTGAACAATGATAGCTTGGTTGATTCCAGGTTTATCTAATGTTCTTAATACCCTATCAGTTTTCTCCAATGACATCCCCAACAGTTTCAGAAATATTTACAATAACATTTGATCAAATGAGATTTCATTATGCAACTCATGTGTTGTTCATAACATTGTAAATAAATATATACAGTGCCATGCAAAAGGTTTTTTTTCCCCACACTTTAAACTATTGTAAATATCTAATAATTGGCAGCTTAAAGTAAATCTTGTTTTGCCAATACTGATTGATATCAATTTTATTGTGAAAAAATTGACTGGCATAATAAAATCTGATAAAATAATTAATTCCTGTTCCATACTTAATTAAAAAAAGTTTGTGTCTGACTGAATTTTTTTTTTTTTTTTTACAGAAAAAAGGATTTGAAATTTTTCTACAAAAAAGTCAAAGCAAACTTGTTAATCTGATAAAATTTAGTACTACAAATGAACAAAAACTTTATAACTGCTGTGTTACTCATTTCTTAATTTGCACCACTTAAAAAAAGTTGCTAACTGCTAACAAACAGATATAAGTTAAAGAGATATACAATTGAAATAAGTTTACTTTGGATAGAATCTTTTGCAGATATTATACAACTTTAACAAATGATTTTAACAGAGATTCAAAAACATTATTTTGTATCTTTTTAATCATTCTTTTATCCAGTGATTTTGTAACTTTCATCAGATCAATTTGAAGCTTATGAATGATAAAGTCTTTATTAACAAAAGACTATAAGATTTAATGTTTAATCAAATATAAAAATAAATAATCCAATATCATGGTATTTCAATGCTTTTTTTTTTTTTAATTGTAGAAAGTCTTCCATTCAGGTAAAAATACATAGAAAAAGCCAATTTAACAACAGATGGAAATAGAAGTACATTTTAATAGTGCTTGAAAAAAAAAAAAAAAAAATTGAGTAAACAAAGTCAGATAATGCAATAAATTTATGAATATTTTACTTACAGTGTATAGGTCTTTGGAGACTCTCGGGAATGTATCATAAATCCTTCACTTAATCGAGTGTCTGAAGCAATAATAGCAAAATCCTCACCTGACAAGGCCAGAACAGTGCTTGAAAAAAATAAAAGAGAAAATCTCGTTTATATTCACAACAATTAAAATGCTAAATGTTTGCATATAACTACATGGAAAATTCTAACCATCATACTCCAATTGTCACTACCACTAGTTTTGTATATTGAAAAACTTTGACAATCAACATGAGATACCAGTTCATCTTTTAGTCAAAATAAGAAAATACAAGATAAAACCCAAATTCAAGACATTTTAAGCATGTGATTTATCTGTAAAAGGGACAATAAAATAGTCTATAAAGTCTGAGATCTTACCACCATTGATTTCCTGCTCCCAAAATAATGTAAGCTAACAATAAACTGGAGTCTGATATCTGAACTCTGTTAGCTAGACAGTGCTTTCCATGACAATAAAAACAGTAGGATCAAGGACATGCCCTGATGTCTGCAGCAATAACCAATGGCATTGAACAATTTCTGTATAAAGCATCATAACCTCCAAGTGCATAACCCACATAATAAAAATGATTGTCCTTTGTTCTAATAATATAGCAAAAAGCAACTAAAATATTTCTTTAAAAAAAAAAAAAAAAAATCACAATTTTCATTTCTGTCAGTGCATGTTGTTAGTTATTTAATATATTGAAATTCATGAGCATAAAAACAAAACGGAAATCCAAATGAATCTAATGCAAAGCACATGTAAAAGTTACACACATACAAGTACATGCACAGCTTGCATGGTAATGAAATCAGTACATTACACCATTTCAGTTTATATTTGGTAAACATGAAGTAGATATGCTTTGGTAAGCCTATAACCAAATGTGGAGTCTTTCACTTTAATCTATAAATGTGATTACATTGCATGTAGGAACAATATTTTGTTTTCAATTTTAGTAATTTATTTGATTAATACAGGATGTGCAGGTAGTGTAACAGACATTGGCACTGAAATTGGAATTGGCAAGCTGTTTAAATTCCAGGTTAGTCTGTTGCATTCACTTTTACACAAACACCCTTGGGAAAAGCATAAATCAGCCTCTTCTCTTATCAGTTATGGATTAAATAGAATAAACTGAGCTTTGATTGGCAACTAGTCAAAAAGAAGGAAAACTGAATTCTAAACAATGGAAAAGGCAACCATTGTATTTCCTAAGAATGCATAGCAATTCACAGATAAAGAAAAGGAATCTGTGGAGAGTACTGATTGACTATGCCCTGAAGGTTGCTCTTGGCTCATTTGAGAAATTGTCTCATACAAGGTAAAAGAAAAGTACTTTAGATTGATTTGTTGGAGGAATGAAAATTGTATAAATGAATGAAGTTTTGTTCTGCAGTATTTGAAACAACATTTTTTTTCTGAAGTCAAACCACATGTCAAAGTGTTTAATACAACAGAAAAATTTTTTTACTGAGAGAAAGTGTTACTTTTCATTAGTTTACTGAAATTTTTTTTCAATTTTGTTAATAGCATGCCATTTTGGTTGATACATTTTTTTAAGACTTCTTCAGGACTATTAATATCATTCAGTTTCATAATTAACTTAGTACTTTCCCACTCTACTCAAGAACAACATGCCAGTTCAACAGAAAACATATCAGGTGCTACTAACAATTTGTCTGTAATGAGAACAAAGAAGGTGGAAGAATATATCAGTGGAAATGTTGAGGCAAAAGATAAAGAGCCCCACTATGGATCAAATGACTAGGGAATAAAATTGAAATCCATTTTTCACCCCACAAGATGTTTTAAAAAGAAAGGAAATAAATTTGAAATGCTAAAAAAAGACTAGGATGTGCACGTAGTATAATAGCAGTTTGGAATGAGAAGCGAGCAGAGTTTGAATTCTGGTTGAGTTCATATTTGCTTTCACATAAACATCCTTGGAAAGGCATGAATCCATCTCTTCTCCTCCCAGCTATGGATTAAATGGCAGAGCAGTGGGGACTCTAGCCATAGTTGGCAACCAGTATAAAAGTACACCTCTTGAATTCAAAAGTGTATGGGGGTATATACTTGATCTGTAACTAAGGTCAACTCAGTACATTTGCAGTATAAACCACAGCTTGTCTCTGTAGATGTTGAAGAAACAGAAATGGACCTGATTGGAAATAATATGAGGAATCATTCTGATTTGCAAGTTGCAAGTTAAAACAGCTCTAATGAAGAAATTACATGTATTATGTTAACTAAATAAGAGTTTGTATATTTAAATATTTCTCTATCATTTACAGTTAATTACAATATTTTATTTCACATTCTTCATTCATGTCATTTGTGCAAATTACACAGAGTAGAGGGAGACATTTAATTAAAATCTCAAGAGTTTTAATATTAAAAACAGAGACTTGATAGAGAAAATCTTAAATTCATGGTAAAGCAATAGCTAAGTTTTCAAATTTGATTAATAAATAAACATTTCTCTTCAAGAGTAGTTGATTATAGTTCTCCACAGAATCCTTTTCTTTATTAATGATGAATTGTCATACTTTCTTGATAGTAGTTTCCCCTATTGTTTTCTCCACAGTTGGTAATTCAGTATTCCTTCTTTGAGACTGGTTGCTACATATGGCAGAGAGAGCTCAATCTACCCCATTATTTAACTCTTAGATGAAGGGAGAAGAGATGAATTCATACCTTTGCCAAAGGCATCAGTGTGAAAGTGAATGCAACTGATTTGGTTGGAACTGGAACTTGGCTTGCTGATAAAGATCAAGAAGCAACAGTTTGGAAAAAAATATGCCAGATTGTATAAAGAGAAAAAAAAATGATAGTGAATAAAGTTTATTCAACATTATAAATTCAAGTATGCAAATTCTGAGCAATACAAAAGGAGGTATAATTATGTTTTATAGATTATGCAGAAGTGGTTTGATAAATACATCACAAAAAACTGTTCAAACTGCTAGGTAACCTCGACATATCTGGAAAGGGTATTAGAATAATCCAGAACATATGCTATGAACAAACCACCTGCACATGGATAGAAAATGAATTCAGTAAAAATATACAGAATAGACAGCAGTGTAAGAAAAGAGGGGTTTTCTACTCAGATTTATTCAGCCTAGGTGATTCTGAGAGAATTAGAAGTCCTACCAGGATTCAGTATTGGTGACCATAATCTTAACAACATAAGATATGTAGAGAACACAGTGTTGATAGTGGACACAGAAAGTAAACTGCAGGAACTCCTACAGGAGGTAGCAAAAGAGAGAAGAAAAGACTAACCATCAATTGCAAGAAAGAATGTATGGTTGTCACCAAAAGGAAGCTCAACATGCAAATTACAAATTGGAGATACCAAAATGAAACAAGTACAACAATTTAAACATCTGGGAAGTGTTTAACAGAGGACAGAATAAGCGACATTGAAATCTGAAGATGTATTATTGTATATCGAAAGATGACTTTCAAAAGTTAACCAAAGTATTAAACAGGAAAATTTCATTAGAAACAAAGAACTGAACCGTTATGTAACATTGGTTTTGTTATATGGCAATGAATGCTGGACAATATCCCCATAGATGAAGGGACTTGAAGCAACAGAAATGTGGTTCTACATAAGGATGCTGAGAATACCATGGACTAAACACGTGACAAGTTTTTGAGAAAAATGGATACTTATCAAAAAAAGAGAGTTGAAATTTCGACAGCATATGAGGAAAAAGGTTTGGAAAATTTCACACCCACAGGACAGATTGCAGGCAAGAGGGGGGGGCAGCGTATAACCTACCTAACGAGCTTGTGCATTAAACAGATGGCAGAATTGTTTTTTGAGAGATAACAAAAAGACAGTTTACTAAGAGAGGAAATTGTGGAGAGCCATGATCAACGTCTTGAAGGGACCAGCATGGAACGAAAGATGCCTTTTTAAAAAGTATCCCCACATATTACAGTGCATTCAATGCGCTTGTATTGTGAATTATCGATTAGAGTAAGACTTAAAAAGCTACCCAGTTAGGAGACAAGTGCTATTAGGAAATTGTGGAGAGCTGTGATCAACGTCCTGAAGGAGCATGGTACACAGAAGGAGAATGTATTGTAAATTCAAATAATTTGGGAGTAATTGCCAGCAAGATAGTTTTGATCTTGTGTAAAAAATTAAGCTAAAAACTTAATAAACTGAGTGTGAGTTCGATCTTTACTGGTTACTCTAATTGTGTCAAAATTAAGCTAAGTAACTAAATTCTAAAAATTTCAATATTACTGCTGGACAAGAAAATGTTTCCTAAGTTTATGCTCCAAATCAATACAATATAGTAACTATGAAAATAAATTCGGATGAACTATTTCGTACGTAGTGTATATTTGAAACAAGAAATTACTCATTGTTGTTTAGTTTATTATTCAAAGAGCTCAAGTTCTGTTAAACATTTTTAATGGATATCCGAATTATTTAAAAATTAATAAAACAATATATATCTAAATTAAGTTTCGGTTTAGCAAACTATTTTCGTAGTAAAATGCATATTTATTTTCTAAAATTACATTCATTAAAAATACTTTTAAAAAGAAAAATCTTGCTTTTTTTCTGTCGAGAGAAGAAAATCATAGCAAAACAAAGCAGAGAATAGAAAACGGCGGCATACAATTATTTATATTCTTTCAAAATGACTGATCATGACTTACCCTCCATTCATTGCATAAGGACTGAAATAAGTACTAAAAGGTTTTTTGTAACTAGATACACCAAAATCCATGTTGGTTTAGTTGTGGAGTCTTATCGTTACAAAACTTCAATGTATGACACAGCAACTAATGGCTACGTTGAAAGTTCGCAGTGAATATCAATTTACATTTTATTCGCTACTTAAAAACCGGTAATGCTTATTTTTTTTAAATAACAGTTCATTAATTTAAATGGAAAAAATAGCTTTAAAAAATAAAATAGTGATCCAAAGAAAAATAAAATTACAGAAAATCTCTATCCAAGTCAACAGAAATTTCTTAAATTTCTCACATAACATAACTAACATAACATAAGACAAAATATAAGAGATTAATTAAAAGCGAATCCACCAAGACAAGAAAATATTTTTGTAATTTTTTTTTAAAGAAGTAAATGATTAAAATCTTTGCCATAAAATTAAAAACCTTCATTAATTTCTTTTCACTTTAAGTAACCGGAAATCCATTTTCCTTCACTGCTGATCTGCTAAGCTAATCAGCACGCGGTAAAAATGGTGAGTGAATAAACGTGTTATTTTTAACTTATATTTTTATTAAGAACATGATTATTGTTCTGCTTCATTATATTATATAGAACCAAAATGCTTATCTTTTTCTAGTATTTAAATTGGCATTTTAATAGTTAAATTGTTCTTGCCTTTTAATGTTTAAAATCGTGACGCATCGTGATTACTTTCAATTTTCAACTGCTTTAAAAAGGTTGCCGGCTTTGTTTTTGGTATCAGTGAAGAGAAAATATTCCTAACTTTGCAGTCATTAAAAATAATATTACCCACTACCCAAAAAATAAATGGCTATTTTAAAGTTTATTCTAGTTTTTGATGTCCGTATTTCAGGAGCAAATAAATAAATTTATTAAAAATTTATAAAATATTCTTTGCAATGAAAAAATTTTTTAAAATGATTTTTTTATTATTTTACTAGCCTAGGCAAATTTATCTTAAAACCTTTTTTTTATTAAATTTAAATTCACTCGAATACATTTTAAATCCTTTTAAAAAATATTTTTGGATGTTTTGAACATGAATTGGTTTTTCCCTATTTTTAATAAAAAAATTAATTCTGAGAAATTCTTTGTTGAGATAAAAAGAACCTTGATTCTCAAAAATATCATTTTTTATGCTTTTAAAAATGAATAAATAAATAAACGAATTTTTCTGACTCCTAAATTGTTTTACTACTAAGTTTATCAAAAACTTTTTTTAGGTGATGTATTATTTTTCATTAGTGTTCTGTTGGCATAGCAGAGTAGAGATTCCTTTTTTTTATGAATGGACATTATGAACCCTTCTGTTTGTTTACATGCTTCCTCCCTTGCCTAAATAAAGGTTACGTAAACTTGGAATTAAAAGTGTTTAATATTAATGTCGTAAAATCTTCCGGCGAGATTTGAACTCTGTTTCTTCACGTTGGAAGTCCTTACGACTAATTTCCCGTCTACGTCTGTTTATCTCTTTGCATTACTGCATAAAATAATCTTAGTATAGTAGTATAACTCACAAATTAAGAGTTTTTTAGGTACTAAGAAGGTCTAAGAAGATCCTAAGTGGAATAGAGCTGACGTAATAAATTAAGTCAACTGTCATATATACCAAGAATGCAAGCATAGACCAGAGTGTTTTCGCCACAAATAGAAAGGAAAGTGGGTTTTATTTTATTTCTGTTTACAATGACCCTCCCCACCACCAAAAAAAAAAAAAAAAATAAAAAAACAAGCCATACCGAAATTATTCAAGCAAAAATCAAAAGTGCATTTTTAAATGAAAAATGAAAAATCTTTCTTGAGGCTTTTATTTTAGTTTTAATTGCAAGCTATAGATTAAATTTATTTCCAGTAAGCAAAAAAATTTTTTTGTATTTGAAACCAAATTTATGTTGATTGGAATTATTATTTATTTATTTATTTATTTATTTTTTTTGAAATCGCTAAAACTGGTCATATTGACAAATGTATCAACACAATATAATTCTCTTTATTAAAAAAATCATTCAAAAATAAATTATACTTTTCTGAAACTTTATTTGACGAAGATTAAATGATTTAAAGTTTAATTAATCTGAAACATTACTTTTAGTTCAAAATATCACAGAAAAGCATTTTTTAATGCTGAGGTGAGTGTCTTTATGGGGTGTTCACTGTTAATACATTTATATTGATAAGCAGATGTATGGCCTTTTAAGTAAAGGGCACATAACTAAAAATTAGTGGAATACAGCGTGAATGCCTTTTTACATATTTTTTTAACTACTTGGTAATCTTTAAAATTTAGGAAAATATTCTAAGTAATCTAATACGAATTTTAGGTACTTTGGTTTTATACTTTTATGTACGAAGACACTTGTTGAAGTAATATTAAAAAATTACCAATAACTTGTAAATTTGCTATAGTTACTGCTCTCATTTTCTGATAATGTTGTGTATGAATGTCCGTATTTACAAAAATCAGCATGTTTATACATAAAATAACGTTCAAAGTACTTTTTAAAATATTAGGTGTTGTCGAATTGTAGTAAGATTTTCTATTTATGATTAGTAATTATAGTTTTTACTTAAAAACAATATCGCTTAACCTCTACCAATTAAAACAGATTTTTAAAAGTTTATAAACTACTAACAGGCTTCACCCAGTAAGATATATTCACTACTTGAAATATTTTAAACAAAAATTTTAAATCCAATTTCATTCATAAATTGGCTTGTTATAGTTAAGAAAAGTTTTACAAATAGATGTCAACTTGTTGAAGTAAAATGCAAATTTCAAACACTTTTCTGCACTACATAAGACAATATTCCTAAACAGAACTATTTTTAATATGAAAATCAAAACAATCCTTGAATAAAAGAACTCTAATGAAGGACAGTTAATTAATGAAATATACATTTTTTTAAAATCGATATGCAAATTAGTTAAACCTGAAAAGTGATATCACCTAGGAGTAGATATTATATAATACAGATATTGGTCTTTTAATGTAAAAATTACTATAAAGTAGAGTTGGCTTTTTGACCCCAGAATTTGTTGGATAATTGTTCCAATTTTGCATTTATTCATATAGATTCCATAATATAGGTTTTACTTAATTAGCTATTATGTTTCTTATGTGATCAATTTTGAGTTTTTCTGTAGTTTATTGATGCCTATATCATTTACTCCTCTCTAGTTATTGTAATGATGGCCAAACCAAAAGTCCTCCACTAGTGCTAGCTTAAATGCCTTCCAATAAGGCAGCTTTTAAGCTAGTTTATAATAAAATGTGCACTGCAATTTTGATACAAACGGAAAATAAGTTACTCCCCTTGAACCATGAAAGGTATGATAATAGCTTGTATAATATATTAATATATATTTTTAACCTTGCATAATCTGGCAACTCTGAATCTGAGCTCAACAAAAATCGTTCCCTGCGCCTAACTTTTCCAGGGCTTTTGAATGAGCTATGAGTCATTGAAATCAGACCAGTGGGAGCAGAGGAGTTGCTTGGACACGCATACACTGTACTTTATATACAAGATTATAATTGAAAGCAATTTATGTAAAAATGAATTATTCATTGAAAAAATAAAATTTCTTAAGATAATAGTGTCCGTAATATCTTATTCATAAAAGGAATTAAAAGCTCTTCTAATTAAATGTCTATTATTGCATTTTTTATTTTATGATTCGGAGCAGATTTTCTGTAAACTAGAGGGTCCTGTTTGACAGGTCTCCAAGGTCTTGTCCTTATAACTAATATAAATATTAAGCTTTAGCACTCTGCATTATTAATATTACTTTCCTTTCCACCACATTCTTTTTCAAGGCATCTCAGTTGCAGTATCCTTATTGTTAATTTCATTTATTTGTGAATAAGTCATGAAATGAAGTTGTTTTTCTGTTGTGAATAAGTCATGAAATGAAGTTGTTTTTCTGTTGTGAATAAGTCATGAAATGAAGTTGTTTTTCTGTTGTGAATAAGTCATGAAATGAAGTTGTTTTTCTGTTGTGAATAAGTCTGTGAAGTTGTTTTTCTGTTGAATAAGTCATGAAATGAAGTTGTTTTTCTGTTGTGAATAAGTCATGAAATGAAGTTGTTTTTCTGTTGTGAATAAGTCATGAAATGAAGTTGTTTTTCTGTTGTGAATAAGTCATGAAATGAAGTTGTTTTTCTGTAGCAGGATATGACAACACAACTATGATCAGTCACATTCAGTGGCAGGATAAACATTTTGTGCCACAAATGAAGTCAATGGTTAAGTTCTACAAAAATTAATTTCTTGAGATTTCAGAAAATTAAATAAGGGTTAACAGATGAAAAAAATGTTTAACAAGATTTTCTAAAAAAAAATGTTTCAAAACTAATTTCATTTATTTGTGAATAATTCCTGAAAGTTTAATTAAAATCTATCAATTATTTGTTTTTTTTTTTTTTTTTTTTTTTTTTTTTTTTTTTCTTGCAAAAATTTACAAATCAATGTGTTTTTTACTGCAAAACAACACTAAAATTTCCCATTTTGGTTGACACATTTTGAAGGTTTTAAAAAGGATTAAAAATATAATTTAATGATCAAAAATCTTTAGTCTTATCTCTTAATAACAACAAAGATTTTGATGATAAAACTTTGTTTTAAGTTTGGGGCATTTTTTTTTTATCATGTATGCTTTTTTTTTTCTTGTGGAGGTACCTATCTTAAACTGTGACATCAGCATATGCATCATCATAATCCATTTGGGACCAGGTTATTAGACAAGTACAAAAGAATTGGAGAAAAATTAATAAAGATTATTTTAAAATGTGTTTAGTTTCTATAATATAAGAGATGTACATAATTTCATCGACTTCTGTGACACAATAATAAGGGATTAACCAATTAATGGTTACTGTCTTATTTTTGGGATGCTGGGAATTAATCAGTTATAGGTAAAAACCTATAATAAATACTATATTTTAGCATGAAAATTTAAGGGTTAAACAAAGGTATATACATTATAAACTGCATTAAGCTTGACTACTGTTTGCCAAGACCCACAGCTGTGGAGGTAAATCAGGACTTGAATAAAATGTAATTTATTAAAATAGTGATGTGAACTGATTGTAATATTTTGATAAGTTTACTTCAAACTTCACTGAAGAATCAGATCACCATAATTCAATCATTTTTACTACTTTAATGTTAACTGTAATTAGGTTGGATATCATTGCTTATTGAAGGCGGTTCTAGTTCTAGGGGAGGTAAGTTGCTATTTTTAGGTTTTCTTTGAATTCATTCTTTGTTGCCATAATTATCAAAACTGTGTTCTTAGCAATTCCATTTAGTTATAATTGCTGTCTTCCTCCAGAACCGTATGCCCATTAAACTATCAAATCGTTCTCTTCCATTTTTTTTTTCCCCTTTTTAATTTTGTTTTAAACATTTACAATACTTTTTTCTTTTTAATCCTACAGTTGTTCTACTCTTTCTTCAAGTCCCTTGTTGGTAAAGATGTTGTTGTAGAATTGAAAAATGATCTCAGGTAAAGTTTCAAATCATCATCTTATTTCTGCTTAGCTTTTTGCTGTTTATGTATTTTTTTCTTCATTACATGAAATATTGCAAATTTCTATAACTCCCTTGTTATTATCTCTATATCAGTACATTTTAAACCTGTTACTGTTTGAAATTCTTTGTGTATTTTAAATAAATTTGACTAAGGACTCTATTAAAAATTTTAAAGATTATCTATATTCCTTGTAAGAACTTGCTTTTCATATTCAACCTAAAATCTGGTTTTCCTTAAATTTTGGAACTTGATCTTTTGACTCTCTGACAAATTTATTTATTTTTACCATTATCCCAAAATTACTCTGACAGAAACAGCTTTAATTGTTCCAAAAACTTTTTAAACCTTCCTGAAATCGGAATGTCTTTATTTTTATTTAATTTTTAATTTTTTTTTTTTTTTTTTTTTTAACTTCTCATTTATACTCTTTAGTTGTATAATTTTAAAAACATCATAAAAATGTTTAGGAAATGAATATTTATTTTAATACATTCAATTTATAAACAGTGATGTCTGAGCCCTGCATCCACGATGACACCACTTGGGACCAGTTTTCCCTGGGCTATATTGCTGATCAGCAGGGCCATGAACAAAGATTTGGCAGAGGCATTTGAGCATTTCAATTTACTTTATGATAAACAGAAAACATAACAGGGTTTTTTTTTTCTATTTCAGCATTTGTGGCACACTTCATTCTGTGGATCAGTTTTTGAATATTAAACTGACAGACATCAGTGTAACAGATCCAGAAAAATATCCCCACATGGTAAGGACAACATTTGCTAAATATCTCTTTTCTTTTCTAATTATTTAATTTTTACTTTCTTGTCTATCTTGATATCTCCTTAGTCTAGTCTGGCACAAGGCCAAGTAGAAATAGGAGGATTGTATTGTAACCTCATGTGAAGTTTTTTTTTTTTTTTTTTTGTCTTGTAACTCATTTGCAATCCTGCAATCAGACCCCAGCCTCTGGCTCAAGATGGAAATGTATGAAATAATTTGCAAGCACTTTTATGCATGTATTTAAGCATTATAATAGAAAATGACACAAATTTTTATCAAGATCTCACGAAATTAAATGATATTTATTATCAACTGGTAATGATTAGAACTAAAATTGATATCCCTACCTGGTAAGTGTAATGTTCATTTTGCTGTTATTGGTCTGCAAACTGGTATTGCCTGACAGTTTCTTCATTCAATGAAGATACGAGAAATGGTGGTGCTAATATAAAAAGAAATTTACCTTTTGTTTCATAAATGCTTTTTTTAAATTTAAACTTTTTATGGAAAATCATGAAACCAAATCCAAGTCTGTGGCACCGGATGGAAAGTATATAATGTAGTCTGTACTTTGCAATCTGTTGTAGTCAGTCTATAAAAGAAACTTAAAGTATTTTGAAAATACTCTGTTACATATGATTTATTTTATTCCTCTTAATAAATCTCTACTCCAGTGGATATTGATGGAAGGCGGCCATATTTCTTTCTCGAAGCTGTGGTAAAAATTGAGTTCATTTTCAGTGACTTGTAAAATCTAACCATTCAAACTACAACATTGGTGCCCCACCTTTTTTTTTAAATAGTCCAAAGATCATTATTTCAAATAGATTTATTGAATTTATTCACGTTATCAAAGTAATAAAAATACTTGTATTGAGAAATGCTTGTTAGCAGCACATTTGTCTTGTAGATCAGTGAAATTTATCTTTTACTAGATGTCTTTATCAGAATTCTAGCTTCATGATGTAGTTTGAAGTTCCAGTTTGTACATGAAAACAAATTAATTCAAATAGATGGGGTAAATCATTAAGAAGGATTAGATTGAACAAAGATCGATGAGAGAATTAAGAATCTTAAAGAAACCACATGGAGGAAATGGTGGAAACAGAAAGACTGAATGCTGGTTTAACTTAGTATTGAGTAAATCTATTACAACTAAAATTCACCCCATCATCTTCTGTCCCACATAGCATAATATTGACATGATTAATGCTTTCTTAGATAAAATATAAGTCTGTCAGGCCAAATGATGTTTTGATTACGTTCAGTTAATTTTATGTTGAATTTGGCCACTTGTCAGCTTTAAGGGAATCTGATTTTTCAGACAAAGAATCTTGGCTTACATTCATATCACATTGAAACACTGATTCCCATACAATCACTGAAGTTAAGCAATGTCGAGCCTTGTCAGTACCTAGATGGGTGACCACTTGGGAATACAAGGTATTGTAAGTTTGGATGTACTTTTGGTGTAATGGATAATAGCTTGGAATTGTTAATCGGAGAGCTGAGTTTCAATTCTTATTGGGTTCGTTATATTCACTTATGAACAAATACCCTTGGGAAAGATATGGAGAGGGCTCTTCTCTCCTGCTATGGGTTAATTATAGTAAGACTTGTATCATTGTAAGGATTTTTTTTTTTATATAGCAATCTCAAAAAATATTTTCTGGCTTTAAATAACCTGCAAAGGGTTGATAAGCCATAGAAAATGAATCCATAAATAAACAAAATCTTGGAAACATGAGATTAATTGCAAGAAATTAGTTACAGTTTAGGGTAAAGTCAAATTGTCTATTTATAGATCATGTGCAGCATGATAAAAAAGGTTTGATTACTGTAAACGTTTATGGATAATGAGACCCACTCCCCTCCCAGACACAGTATGCTACAAGTCTGAGCATAGTAAACTTACCAGTTACCCATTTCCTTGTAATAAATAAAAGGTTATTGGATGCTAAACAGGTATTAGTGTTATTATTGATTGTGCACAGAAATCTGAGATATTCTATTTCAGTTAACAAAGGAAGAAAGTTGAATCTTTTATGTCACACTACAAATCTACAGACCTGTAATGAAATAGACAATTTAACAATTTGTGAGCTGTTGATACTAGACAAACCAGAAACATTGAATTAGGGCATGAGAATTGATAGCTGCAGTGCCACAAAAGATGATAATGCAGGTGTTAGCTTAGTTAATAATTATTTGTAATGATTCCTAGAATGTACATCTCTGTATTTAAAATAATGCAAAGAATCTTTGTTCTTTATTCAGGATTTCTTTTAAATTTTTCCCTTTTTTCTTTTTGATTCTTTGAATTTTTAAATGATATCACTTTACCGTTTGTTAAATGGCTTGTATTTTTCTTTGTATTTAAGTTATCAGTGAAGAACTGCTTCATTCGGGGTTCAGTTGTGCGCTATGTGCAACTACCGGCTGATGAATGTGACACCCAATTGCTTCAAGATGCAGCCCGTAAAGAAGCGGCTCAGAACAAGCAGCGATGATGATTCCTTGCCAATAATTTACCATTTTGTTTTTCATCCACTTTTCATCTTGTACATATGTACATAGCAGCTCATCTTTGACAGCAACAAGCTGAAAATAACACAAAATAAAACTCTAACCATATTCTCTACATTGTGTGTGTGATCATTTTTTTGAAAATTTCCTTTTTTTTTTTTTTTTTTTTTTTTTTTCTTTATTTCAAAGGATACAGATAACTTGATTTGACAGTTTTATTTATTCCTTCATCTGATTATCTTTTGTGTGGGTAGTGTAAAGGTTATCAGTGCAGAAAGTGGAATTGACAAACTGAGTCTGTTGTTTTCAACTTGAAGAATGCATGAAGCCACCTCTTCTACCCCCCCCCCAATTACAAGACATGAATATCATAGTACTCTTAAAGAAATTTCATGATACCACTAACCTGTCAGAAAATCTTTTTTTTTTTAACCTGTACTAAAATACTTTGGTGCTACTACTAATAATTGGTTGTATTCTCCTACCCAATATGCCTTTATTATAAAAATGAGCCATGTAGCTGGTGTACATGGGACAATCCTTTAAGAAAATATGCCTATACTCAAGGGGGTTACAAGTAAACTACCAGACTCATGTCTCATCGTTATGCCAGTTTGGTTCTAAGGTTTTAGTTAAGTACCTGGCTACTAAAATGGTGATTGTTTTCAGTAAGTATCTATGTACTAATTTTCTGGTATCTACTTTAAGTTTGTTTGGATTAGGGGAGTCACTTAAAAGTACATGACATGCCAATGTGGTATATTTTTTTTTTTTTTTTTTTTACCCCCTTCTCAAAAATACAGAGGCGTGCGTTTTTAAGAGAAATATCACTATTTTCTGGTTGTTTCTAGTAATGCAATTACAGCTCTGGATATGGTTGTGATCAGAACGGTTCTTGACATTGCTTAAAATATCCAATTGTGACACATTGCCTTTCACCTAATCTCATCTCAGAGTATGTCTTGACATTCAACTGAATTTTTGTAAGCAAATGTTATCTCCCTTGGATTCTTAATGGTCGTAACCTAACCGAAAAAAAACTTTTAACTGCTACTTGTTAAATTGATTGATGATAGAATAGGGTATTTTTTTTTTTTTTAAACTTGTCATTTTTAGTGATAAAAGAAGATATTGTTGAGCAAAAGTTTTGTTTGTTCTTAGATTTTTTTTTTTTTTTTTTTTTTTTTTCTTATGAGCCAAGTGTTTAATTTATTTGAATTAAAGAATTTCCCAATTGAAAGAAAGAAAGCTTTCTGGCTAATTAATTTGTTTTATATTATTTTGGGGAGATCAATTAGTATCTAAAATACTAGAAGAATTTGTGCCTTTTTTTTATTTTTTTTTTTTCCCTCTTCTATCTATTTGCTTTAAAAGGAAAATTAACTGTGACCACATGATTGTGGTCACAGTTAATTTTCCTTTTAAAGACATTTTTCCTTTTATGAGACATTTTGCTGCTAGAGATTTAGATTACATTTATTTCCTTTATTTTCATCAACAAACAACAACTTTTTCTATTTATTCATTTATTTTTTAATTTTTTTTATCATTTCACCCCAAGCAAGGTGATAATGCTACTAAAAATGCTAGGGGTTAGTTAGGAGAAAGGATAATAAAAGAAACAAAAACAAATAACTTCAAGAAGACAGAAAATGGTAAGTGATATTGCATTTAAATTTTGATTGTAGGTGACAGGAAAGCAATAAACTGATAGAGAGTTCCACAGACGAGAAGTGTGAAAAAAAACTTATGGTTGCATGTAGCTAGTTCAACTGTAAAACCATGAGACCTAATTACCAATCTAGTAGTATGCTTAAATTCATGCAGTCAAGGTAACAATGACATGAAAAATTTTCCTATGTTAGCAAAATCTTTTCACAATTTTAATAGACACTATTATGGTGCTGAACTTAATGTCTTTTATTTTGGATTTGTCTCCGTTTAAGAAAAATTCTAGAGTATATAAGACAGTTGTTTTAGAGGTGGCTGTTTTATGCCTTAAATACTTTTAAGTATTGGAAACTGCTCTCAACTGACAAAGAAAGAATGATGTCATATCAATGACCTTAACATTTTCACTGATGCATTATTACCTGGCATATTTGGTTGGTGGGAGAGAATAGTAAATTGCCATTTACTGGAAAAAAATGAGTACAAAGACACTGATAGTGAAATTTTTTTTTTTTTTATGGGTGCAGCCATTTTGGGTTTGATCAGATATTCTGTCCTGCAGGCTAAGTGAGACCCTTTAACATATTTTAACAAAAATGGTGCAAGTACAGGTCGTATGTTATGCTTATGATTATGCTGGTTTGGAAATAGCACAAAGTGCTGATTAGATTAGTGATTTTCCAAGTAGAGCTTAGATGTGGTACAAGGCTGAAAGTATGGGGCACCTAGTGAGGATCGAACTCACGACTCAGTTGTATTTGTTCTAGTGAAACAAGCTTGCTAACCATTACACCACCTTGAGGTGCCCAAGTGCTGATTAGATTATGATACTAATGTCTTGAAAATGTGTATATATATATATATATATATATTGGCAGTAAGCAATGTAAGTTTTGGTAAAATCAGTACATTGATAACAATGGAAGTGTTACTCATTTAAAAGGCTAAAAATAATCACTAACACCAAAGAATGCTGGATTTTATGTTATTTCATCATTTTACAGTTGGATTGGTTTGATGTTACCGTAAGTTCTATGCTAAGATTTTCTCAGCTCAGATTTCTCATTCGAAGCCACTATCCATTACATCATCCACACATCCCCAAGCTTACATCAGTGTGAAATTTAATGACTCCCCAGAATGAACTGTGGCTTGAGGAACAAAGTTGAGACAATTGGACAGTTTAAAAAACGTACTTTATATAAGAAATACATTACACAACAAGAAGAGAAAAGAAGATTGCTAAAAATCATATTCTTTTAGGAGTTAAAAGTCATGACATCAGGGACGATATTCAAATACATGTGTCTGTATGAAATTGATTGAAACACATCTGATATGTTTCATATCTTCTGATAGCTGCTTTCCATGTTTTATTCAGGTTTTGCTCATGGTTAGCATCACAGTAGGCAAAAACATGACTTTCCTGTTTGTTGTCTCAGAGCCTCTCTGCTTACCGCCTAAATTCTATTTGGCAAATAATTTTGGGTCTTACCCATTATCATCAGATCATAATAGACTCATCTTACTAGCACCAGGTGTTATCTACCAAAGGGAGATAACCTATATTTTTTATACATCACCTGGTATTCCCAAGCGCTCACCGATTTAAGTACTAACCATGTTGCTTAACTTCAGTGATTGAGCGAGAACCGATATTTGAATGTAATATGGCTGTAAGGAATATAATGTAATATAAAGGAATGACTAATAAATACAAAAATCATAATAATAGTAGTAATATTAGTTATTTTCTTTATAAGAAAATATTCGGCATTCATTGACCGAATAGCCAGAGTTAGACATTTCTTCACTCCCTGGTCATCAAGCTAGGATCTATGTGTAGTATCTGCCTTCGGGCAGACAAACTATATTTTATCTATTAATTGTCTCTGTCTTCAGACAACTGAAAATATGACTGAGAGGTGCCCGGTCCCGAGAGACAGTTGCCCGCGGAAGTAACTCCCTCATTGCACTAAAGAGTGGGGATCAGTGTAGTAATACCGATGCCAGCACAGCTAACGGTTACGGTGGTGGTGGTGATAGTGGGGGGTGTCTATTTTTGGATCTGTCCCGGGTGCACGCACTCGGGCTCCCCACATTAAACTGACTTTGCGTCACATCCTACCAGTGTGAACGGTAAATAAGTATTAAGTGGAGTGTCTGTTCTCCTCATCTCCAATAATATTCACCGTTTTATAGACAGAAATATTCGGCATTCATTTAGCGAGAAGCCAGTCCTTCTAGTCGGTTGA